TACAAGCATGATCAGATCATCTAATTCTTCCATAATTTATTAATTTCCTTTGAAAACGATGCTAAAATAAGGAATGTAATTTAAGCATGCTGACAGCAAACTATTTACACAAGATTGGTACATAAATAGCTCTAGTTCCTGCACTAACTTAAATTCATCAGTTTCCAATTTAATTTTCATATTAAAAAAACAGTGGGGAGAATTGTTTTTAACTGTTTTGATTTTATAACATGCAAACTTAATGCCTTAAATGAAAATTGGATAGCCGTAGACAGATGTTGTCAGATGAAAATCCTTAGCATCATTGCTTCAGTTTACTTCATGCATTTAATAAGACTTTTTATTTTTTACATCAGATTCCGTTTCATAATGATACCATGGCCTCGTCTCAAAGTCTTGTTAAAAAGAATGCCTTAGAAAAAAAACCTGCATAATTGAAATAAAAATTAATAAGGTTAAAAACTGAAACTTAGAGAGAAAAAACTAAGTTGTGCAGCACTGAAAGCAAGCCAAAACTTTTTAAAAAGTTCTAGATGCCGAAAGGAAGCTATATTTTAAGTAGCATTCTGCTCTACTTCATTGGAAGCACTAAAACATTGAAACAACAGTCCCAGCAAGTAAAACTGTGAATATTTCATTTTTTAGTTTTGTTTGTTTCAGCATTTAGACTGTTTTAGGAAACAGGTATTAGACCAAAGCCTCACAAGATACCAGCAGATGAAAGATATATTGTCACTTGGGCAACTATTTACCTTGAAAATTGTCAGCCAATTTTTTGGTCAAATTTAGAATAGCTAAATTACTCCAGCATGACAAAGACATCAGATTCAAGCAGGAATGGAAAGAAGTTGCCACCATAAACAGCCAACCACTCCCACTCACTATCAACTGGTGTAAGTCAGCACAGGCCTGACTCTAAGGTCAATGACAGCAGGCAGGTGACTCCTTAAGTAGCTGTGTCCACTCCTGCAGAGGAGGAGCTGGGAAGAAAGACGTGGAAATGAAGACCTCAGTTTTGGAGTGGCAGTCAACTCTTGAAAGGAATCCCTTTGACTTGATTCCAGCTGTAGACCAACCTGGAAAACTGTTTCTAGGGCAGGGGATTTTTTCTATTTAAATAAATGAATCTTCCAGCTGAGTATGTCTGAGTTGATAAGCAGCAAAGTCCACTTTCAAGCGAATGCTACTTTCAGGTCATTTGCTAGTGTCTCCAGGTGCTACTGCAATGGTCAAAAGAAGTACATAAAAAAAATGTATCTAGCATCCTATAACAAGTTATGCAAGCTATATAAGACCTGGTAAAATTGCCATCTTTTTTTCCAGGAAATAACCAGTCCCACAGTGATTCAGTATATTAATACATTAGCTGAGACTATTACAATTAGAATTTGAATAATATCACTATGTTTGCTTTCAGCTGGATAATGGCGTGGGGGCAGGGGGAAAATCCAGTAACTTAAAAATTCTTCCAAGCTGACAAAACTTACAGGATCAGAAACATGAAGGCCAAGTTGGTACATTTCAGTTAGTGTTTATTTTTGAAAAATATCGGGAAGTTATATGAAATGTTTGAAGAAGAAATCTATATAAACATACTAATAAAAAACTCCACCTTTCTTGACCAGGCAAGTCACTGAAGAGTAAAGTGAACTGTGCATGTAATAGCTCATTTTGTTATACACAATGCAGTATTTTATTACAAACTGCCAACAAAAGAAGTACACTACTAAAGAGCTTTCTCAGGTTTAATTTCCTCTCAAGACCAGAACACCGAAGCCAAAGACAGGTGAGAAAGGTATCTCTCTGCCAGTACTTAATATGTAGATACTATTTGATACAGCTTTTTGCTAGAAAAGCAACGCTGAAGAGTTTCAGCTGTGACTAAGCAATACTCTTCCCTTGGTCACCACAACACTAAGCACAATGAGGAATACAAGCTCTAATAAACAACCTAAGACAAAACAAGCTCGGCCAAGACTTTCCAGAACAAATTCACTTCAATGTATGTCTATGTATAGGTATGCCTGGTAGAATGGACCTTTGGTAGAAGCATAATTACTGGACATCTTTCAAATAAAACTATACATCTACTGGACAAAGCTATTACCTTTGTATTGGGGTTTCAATGGCTTTCCATTATGTAAACAAAATGTAGGACCTAGGTAAAGGCATTTTTTCCTCTCACAAACTCGCAAGCAACTAAAGATGTCGTCTGCTGCCTACCTGGGGAGTGAGCCTTGGAAAAACACCTCTCACACAATGGGCTGTAACAACAAAAATCTAAAACCTAACTGTTTTTGCAGGTACACTGCTAACAGCCATCTCTGACATAAAAGTAGGAAGATGGTTTTTTTTATTTTTGCCTCAGGTAGACAAATTTTCTTAAATGAAAACAGAAAATACAGCCTGACTCTATTTGGTATGAAAGGAGTGCATTCAGCTAGGGGGAGAAAGCACAAGGAAACCCTTCTTATCTTGTGTCAAAGCTCGCTGGTAGTTGGCAAAAAAGGGAATCAAGTAGCTTCACACCCTTTAACTTCTCTCGTTCTGCTGTCTCTTCCACTTGCCTTCTTCTTTCGGTTTAAAATTAAACTATTTTTCCTTATTTGCAAAACAACAATATACTTTTGACTGAAAAAAAACCCCATGATTTCATAATCTGCTTCTAATTGCATATTGATTCTCCAGCTTGAAGAAAGGTTGTGAGGGGATATAAATAAGAAGGGGAGGAACACCTCTGAAAAAGATTCTCTCAGACAAAATACCAGATGCATATGGAAAAGTCACTGAAAGTCAATCAAGATAATTCAGTACAATTTTGTCAGAAGCAGTGTCAAGCTAATCATGACTGTGGAAAAGTGAGTTTCTTCTAACATAAAGGAAGGACCAATTACATTCTCCCCAAACTTAGGGAATGACAGCTTTAATACCTTCCAATCCATTTATTTATTATTCCTAGACAAGTAGGAAAAACGTCACTATAAATCTCCATCTTGTCTTTAATATAACCAGGTGTTTATAGCTATGCACTTCAGAGATAGTTTCTGCTATTTATCTAGTACTTCTGCCTATTTAATCACATTTCATATATCCCATTTAGTCTCTTGCTTTCCCATGTGAAATTCTTTATAGGAGAATACAGTTAAAGAATGCTTGATGGAACACCCTTGCATTTTATTATAAACCACCATTGAAACACTCTCAAGAATGATCAATAATAAAATGATACACAGCACAGATCACTCAATTCTTTCTCGTATGCCTGGCTGGTTTGGGGCTTTTTGCTTTCTTTCTGCTTTTCCTTTCTATCCTTCTTCTTAAGTTTCTGCTACATTACTCCACAAGCAATACCATTAGCTACATGATCCTATACCAAATACAAATCTCAGAAATAATCCTCCTTGTATTAGCCAGAGAGCCAATAATAATTAGTATAGGGCTCTTTTTCTGAGACTTAAAATTCTGACATCTGAGTTTAGCTGTATTAACATGCAGAATAAATGCTTTTTGTTACTGATGTCTATACCTTCATAGGTAACAATGTGTGATGGAGACAAACCAAGACTTCCTGGTCACAGTAAATAGAAAATTTAACAATCAAGATCAAACAGAAGAGCAAATACTGTGAGCAGAGCACATCCCTTTGGTGCTGCTGCCTACAAGCCAGTGAAGAGTAGGCTTATCTAGATCTGAATAACTTTACTTGATGGCAAGTTCATAATACAGAAGTCAATTCCAAAACAAAATGAACTAAAAAGCATCCCAGCATCTTATTTTCCATTCAAATTTTAGATTTCAAATGGGAAAGCAAGCTTCTTGACATAGAATACAGCAATATCACTAACTATATAGGTATTATAATCAGTAACCTTTTGAAACAAAACCCAGCAGGTCTTCCAGGCATGTTTAACTTACCATTGCATTCTTCTCACAAGCTTAAATAGACATACAATACAAACCATGCATGTTTTACTTAAATATTTATGGTTCAGTATCTTGATGAACCAGAGGGCTGGATCACATGATTATAGTAAAACAGTGGTTCCCAAGCTACTTGGTGCAACAGTTCTCTCCCAAATGACCTCCACTGCTCACTCTGCCCCTCCTAACTAGCCTGGGGCACAAACCAATAATGTGTTTAAATGGCTTCTGGTATAGCAAAAATCTCCTGAATCACAATCATCTCTTATTTTTTTTGTTTAGGAAGTTATGCCCTGAAATTTGGAACGCATTGTATCAAATTTACCAAAAAGAAACAGGCATGTTTATTTTTTCTCACATTAAGAAACACCTATTTTAAGAAAATAATATTTCTTCTCCACCGAGATAAAACACTGTGATACTTATCATTAACAATTGTACTTTAAAACATAATGCAAGCAAGCAGTACTGAAAATTCACACGTAATCTTAAGCACAGCCTCCATCTTGATATTTGCATGCTTGTTTCACTGCTGCTTACACGAGTTTCCTACATCATAGTAACACTGAAAGTAGATCAGTAGGAGTTAACAAAAGAGCAGATTAATAACAGCACCTCAGAGGCTCTGAAAATTTTAAGGGGAAAAAAAATGCATAAACAGAAATATTTTGATTTTCTACAGAAACTTAATCTATTCAGGGCTAGGAAGAACAGGTATGTTAATGATAGTGATACCTTAGAAGAGTGGCAGCTGATAGCCAGATTTCTCCTTTTTCAATTTAGTATACAGATCTTCTCCAGGGTAAGACCTTTAAGCACGGACACTGAAGTGCTGTTAACTAATATGACTGCTTGGGAGTTACATGAGTTCATATCAGAAGGAGTGAGGTAGAACTATGTTCTACAATTACAGTTCCTAATAGAACAGCAGTTTCAAATAAAATCTATCATCACCATGTTTAACCCACAATGTTTTGTAGGCCTCAATAGCAAGACAATGATGTTCTGATTATCGCCATTTAAACCAACAACATGCAGTAATAAAAAACAATCTTTTGCAAAAAGAGTAAAATAAATACCTGCAGGACTTCCAGCATTTTCTCCTTGATGCAGCTGAATACCAGCAGAATCTATAGAGTTTACTGTAACTGTCTGTAGATTTGGCAATTGAGCAGTGCTTAGACTAACTGGAGTTGATGTCAACGCACCACCGGCTGCAACTTGACCAAGAGTGAGGGTCTGCACAGGGGTCAGAGTTATTTGTTGACCAGGTGCATTCTGAATTTGCAAGTTCTGCAAGTTCTGAACTCCTTGCACTTGAAATGTCTGCCAGGTTATCTGCCCAGAAGGGGTCACTGTTTGTGCCTGAATTAAGAAAGTTCCAGGATTCAGCTGCAGTTGAAGATTTTGAAGAGCCTGTTGAGATATACTTTGACTTGCTTGAACACCGTGGATTGTCTGTTGCGCAATACCTTGTACAATCTGGGCTTGACTGGTTGGCTGCTGCGACTCCTGTAGCTGTATGTGTTGTACAATTGGCTGTGCTGTGGAGACCTGAATATTCTGAGCCTGTGTGTCATCAGAGACTGATGTCTGAATGTAATTTCCCTGAAGATCAGAACCATGAACTTGACCACTACTTGTGGTCAAGTCATTTGCATTTTGTTCCAATATACTTGAACTGTCTATGGTAACGGGCAGTTGTGATGAAGATGACGTTGGCACAAATAAGTCATTATCAGTGGCAGTTTCTGTAATTTCAGGAGAAACTTGCTCACCAGTCCTTTCAGAAGTATCTGAACTATCCATGGCCTGTCCAGTATTTATCAAGTGCCCATCTGCATTAATGCCTGCTGTCATGGTTTGAGAACCACTGCCAAGTCCCAGAGAATCTAGATCAACACTATTAATGGGTACAAAAGTAATATTTCCTGGCAGTCCAAGAGGGACGTTAGCAACCACTTGTGCTTGGCCAGGGTAAGACGAACCACCAATTGCAACTCCCTGAACCTGGACTTGACCAGACTGACCAGATAAGATATTCTGAATATTAGCTGAAGATGTTCCAGAGGCAATGATGGTTTGATTCGAGCCAGGAATGATCTGAATTTGACCAGTTTCTTGATTTATACTGCTATTATCAGAAGAGGCTGCAAAGCCAAGTTGAACCTGCTGACCATCCGCTGTCTGGATCTGGGGTATTACCTGGTACTGTACATTAGACACTGTACCATTCGACGAATCTGATCCTGGTGCAACAGAAAAGATTTGTTGATTTTGCAAACTCTGAATAGGAAGGACATACTGCCCACTTGAAGTTACTGTGGCAGCACCTGGAATCTGTACTATATTACCAGCTTCATCCTTTATAGTGGTAGGAGCTGCAGATAAGACCTCCCATCTGTTTGGAGCTCCGGCTAATTGCACAGAAGCCAAATCCCCTGTCTAAATAAAAAGAAAAAAGAAAACAGAAAATTAAAACAAATGTCGTACAGACTATGTGTTAGACTAGTCATGCAATTCAGCCCTAGATATTGATACACTACTGGAAAACATGCAGTACAGCTCATATGACCACCAGCAATTGGATCAGAACAATGAAACACAGATTTTATAAGCAATCTAATGCCTAAGTCAGGGTAGCCAGCCTGTGGCTCATGATCTGTACGCTGCTCCCAAACATGTCAAATGCAGCTCCTATGTCATGGCTATGTCAGGTGACCAGCAGCAGGGTTATTCTGGTGGCCGGGCTGCCAGGTAATCCAAACCCCTGGTTGTGGGAAGGAGGGAGTTGGCAGGAGCTGCTGGAGTTTCATCACCAACTTACCCTGGAACTCAGAAGCACTCTTTGCCCAGCTAGGCATCTATTGCACATAAGTGGAAGAATCACTGTGAAGCCAGTGTTGCCTATATCTCCTGGAGCTCCACTGCCTTTCAACTCTGTTTTATATTTGGACATGTTGCGACTCCCAGCAGTACACAGAAGATTAACAAGTGATGTCATCACACAGTTTTAAAAGTAGGAGAACCTCAGTTTGTTACACGTAACACAGATCTCTAGTATTTATAAGCTTGTAGAGTTAGTTTTGCTAAGGAAGCCTTCTAGACTAAGAACTTTTACACTGAAATCACGTTTGGATTAGTCATATGCATCAGTTAGGAGGGGTAAAAAAAAAAATCTATCTTCATTAAGTTGGAACAATAGAAAAGGCCAGTGTCTCAGAGTAGACCCCAGATGCTTAAAGAACCTATTATGCATTTGTTTTTTAACCAGTAAAGAAAAGGTAAATTGCACTTACCTTTCTTTACCAAAGCAAGCTTTTCAAGAATAGAGTATTTTAAGAATTAGATTTAACGTCCTGCAATGCTTAGCACAGATCTGCATAGTCAACCAGCTTGGTATTGTAAGTAACCATCAATCTAAAAAAATTTCTCCTTATCTGTTTTACCACATTACAGTAAACCAATGGAATAACTTAATATTAGCAACATGTAACTAACTTGTCTTACGACCAATTCAGATCTGTGAAACAAATCTAGTCTCTGTGGCAGAGTCCAGAGGACATAGAAAGAAAAGCTCTGATTTGTCCTTCTGTATTCATCCTGTGATCACTCCAGGTAGAGAAGTTACCAGAATATATCACAACTTTTTTCTGATGCTGCATTCTGACTTCCTTTAGAACAAAACCAGGACATGCAAAATACAGCACACATCTAATTCTTCCCTAACAGAGCACTGAGACCTAGCCAGTCTGAAAGAATCCTGCAGCATGCACCTGAGTGAATTTAGTCCACAGAGTTAGATGGGACTGCCAGTTTCATATTCTAATCCTATTCCAGCCCGTAACACTACAATGTTTACATGAAAAGGAGAAGTACTGTATTTAAGTCTGAACACTTATTAGAGGAAGTTTCACTGTGCCTACTAAGCTTCATTTTCAATAAGGAAACACAGATCATGGTTTTAAATTCTTCTCAAGAACTGTAAAAATAACTATTGTGCAAAAAACTGAAGAATGCTAGCCTTCTTCAGCCCTTACAGACCATTGACTCATTAAGAGCTGGACTCAGTGATCCTTGGGGATCCTTTCCAGCTCAAAATATTCTGTGGTTCCTAAGCGTGATTCATAATTTTTCAGGTAGTATATTAGTAAATAGATTCAGCATCACCAGAACAAAGCTAACTTTATGGCCTTAATGCTTCAAGGAAAAGAAACCAAAAAAAAAGAAGAATAATTCTATTATTTTCTTTTCCTCTTATACTGATCAACCGTTCATTTAAAAAACATATTTAAATTTTTTAGTCTTCAAGCTCATAACTTATGATACTAGAAGAAAAAACATGTAATATTCCAGATCACATATCTTACCTAGAAGAAGGCAACAAGTTCTATTTTCCTCTGCTACCACATTAGCTTTATACACTTGTGTTTAATATTGTTTACACATAGATACCAGTTGCTGAAATGCTGCTAAGAAAGTTCAATTCACAAGCATATAAATACCTATTAACTGAAGGTTTCATAAAATATCAAAAAACCCATAAAAGTTATAGGTAAACATCAATCAGAAAATGTCAAAGCAAAAATATGACTGTTATATGTTTAAAGTGCATAATTATAAAATAAATGTATAATATAATGTGTTGATAGCTGTTAGAACAAAAGAGAAATGAAAAGTAATATAAATCATCACAAGATATAATTGAAAGCTTAGGTTAAACTAAACTGATCTAATACACAGTAACAAGTCTGTGTCTACTCATATGCAATATCCTCCACAGAAATACTTCAAAGGGAACCTGTCTCTTTTATGATATGGAAACGACCTACTTTATTCTTCTCCCAAAACATATGTTGATTTCCATACTGGCATTTTCATGCTGGGCATACATCTCACATTTTCATGATCTAGTGAAATCTTCCCTCAAATCCTGCTCTGTAACGATTTTAGCACAACAGAGCCACTCTTTTAGAAGATGCACTTGTTAGTCCATGGAGAAGTTCAGGGCAGCCATGCATGAAGACATGAAGCTATGCTATACATACAATATAAAATGCCTGTTATTCATATTGCTCTCACAGCTGGCTATATCAGACACCACCAGCTGAATCATGTGAAGGGAGGAGCAAAAAGAGGGTGAGGCTTTCAAGAAGCTACCTGGCAGCTATCAAAATTACCAGCATTAAAGCATGAAAAAAAAAAAGCATGGTAAAGAGTATTTGAGGATGATCTCCAATCTCAAATGGTCATCATCAGCCTGTCATAACAAGATGGACTGTTATGCTCTTCCACAAAGTCTGTTGAGATAAGACATTCCTTGGACTTCTTTTCCTACTAACTAAAGAGTAATAACCTATCTTTACATCCTCAGGCAATTAAGCACTTTTGTAGTAACTCAAAAGTTCTGCCACTGGTATATGAGCAGCAACAACTGCAGCCCAGTCACTTACTGAGCTTTACATTCAAAATACACCAGTTTGTTTGCTGTCTCAGCCATCCGTGGAAATTATTTAGAGGCTAGAGATAAAGCAACAGTTTCCTTATCAACTGATACTCAGGCAGCAGCTACCTGGCAGCTGTTCCTTTAAGGGAAGGCTGGCCTGTTCCAATCCAAAGGCTCTGTTTCAAGAGGAAGGGACAAAGATCTGAGGAAAGTTCAGCACTACTCAGCCAAGGAGGAGAGAACAGGAAGCAACAAGGAATTCACTGGAAGCAGCATCAGGAAACAAGAAAAAGAGACAGGAACAGAGCAAAGAGAGTAGCTGGCACAAGGCATAGGATGAATTAAAATCAAATTATATGTCCACCTGAAGAAAGGTCAAGTACCAACAGAGAGTGAAAGCAATAACCACTGTTCAGCCTGTCTTTTGATTCTTTAACAGGCCTTATAAAATTTCCAGTGGGTAAAATAAAGACATGTTTCTGCGAGAAAAGTCTCATCCCTGAAGAATCACAAGCCACCATAAATAAAAATTCAGTAATTGTCTTGTCCAATATATTTAGATAAAATTACAGCAACATTAAGTCAAATGTGGAAGGAGATAAGAGAAAGACAGAAGATAAAATACCTTTCAGAAGTGATCTGAACCTATCTGAATGATAGGACTTTATAAAAAAATAAAATATGCTTCACCAAAGTAAAATGGAGAGAAGTGGAGAAATACCCGTGGAAGAACTGGTATCTCTTGTAGACACCTGCATCTCAACTTGTCAAATGGGCACGTGCCATTAGCCATCAGTATTTTAGTACTAAAGTCTACCAAACATTTATCCGTGCATTTTACTGCACTTTTCAGAAAGTCACTTTTGGCACATTTGTCTTGGAGCAAAAGCATCAGCCAAACAACCAGAGGTGGACAGATAATGAGTCATGAGTTCCTAAACATTTAAAAATCACACACCTAATGAAGAAGATTGGACACTGCCTCATCCAAATTGATGTTTTATGAAAGAGTTCGGGTTCTAATGCATGGGTTTAATAATACCATGTGTTTAGCAAGCTACAGTAAACTATCTGTGCATTCTTAGGTCATTACAAATATAAGATAAAATGCACTTGCTTCAACGCTTTCATTAAAGTATGAGCTAATACATTCTATCTTGTATTTGCCATAGGTTAAAAACATGTTCAACATCACTCACTGTGGTTCACCTGACACAAAGCTGTTTGTTATGGCAAATTAATTCTGATGCATGTTTGAGCCCTCTGCCAATGAAGCCACTCAATTTAGAGAAATACTTTTGCCCAAATCAGATGTTTGGAAAAACAAAGAGCATTTCAGGAAAAAAAAGTATTATTTGGGGCTGCTTGAAATCTTATTTTAAAAGAAATTCAAATCTGGTGAAATATACCTGTGTCTCCATTAAAGAGTATCTACCTCTTTTCACTTGACATGGACAATTGGAGCTAAGGGTTCAACAGTTTGTTATTAATCAGCAGAAGTTCAGAACTTGTCCAAATTGAGGTAATAAAATATCCCTGACCTTAGTGGAAACAAGCTGAAGTACTAAGAAACAAAACATGGCAACAAGGAGACATTTTTAACTAGATCACAGGTAACTTATTTTGTTTATTAATTATTAAATCTATATATTTATATGAATCTCAATATAACTGCATGCCAAACCAGCATTCTGTGAAATGGTTTGTTTTCAACTCAGGTGCTGAAGGGTCTACCAAATCATCAAGAGAACAAGAAAGAGGACCTGGGATCAGTCAGCCTCAGCTTGATCTTTGGGAAGGCAGTGGAGCAAATAACCTTGAAAATAAACTTGAAAAAGTTAACCTTCAAATAACCTTGAGGGGAAAAAAACCCAGTAGTGTTCAGAAGTAGTCAGCCTACACTTAGGAAGGGGAAATAATGCTGAAATAACTAACTTCACAATGCCCTATGATGAGAAGACTAGCTTGATACATGGAGTTAGGCAAGGCATATTATTTATCACTACATTAGTCAGGTTTTTGACTCTGTCCCCCATAATAGAAGAAAAATCTTCTTTTTTAATATCATAAGGGTTATCAAACACTGGAACACGCTGCCCACAGAGACAGTAGAGTTTCTATCCTTGGAGGTATTCAAACCCACTGGACACAGCTCTGAACAACTTCCTCTCACTGACACTATCTACTTTGAGCAAGGAGGAGCAGACCAGACATTCTCCAGACGTCCTTACCAGCCTCAACTTCCTATGAAATCTTAGACTTCTTATTAATGTTTAACATTAGAGAACTTTTTTTGTCTATGCTGTTTTTAAATATGGAAATGTTTTAAACCATACATTTTCTTACTTTCTCCTGAACTATGGAGAAATAAAATAAATTTTTTTAAGAACATCCCTAATGCACCTTCTTCTAAAAGAATTTCAACACTTGGTTCTGATCCAGAATCAGAAACACATAATTGGAATACAAAAACTAAAGACCATTTTAAAAGGCAAGCTTCTGGACAACAGCAGGACAAATATACAGTTAGCCATCACATTCTAGTGAAACTTCTTTGTTTGCAAAAGTAAAGAACACAGAGAAGCAAGACAATTCCAGGCAGACATTTCTATAGTGGCTGAACACATTCTGGTGCATCTGTTCACATCCAGAAACCTAGCAGCAGGAAGTTATCTATCACCCACAAAAGCGAAAATGGATGCCAGAATAATTCTGAACTTCCTCAAAATTATCATATAGGCCAGAAAACCAAGTAGGATGGTTAACTCTGACACACGGCATTCATACATATTTTTTCCTAGTGGAAAACATGCATTTAAAATGCCTTCCTCTTTCACCATCTTGTCAGCACTATTCCTATTTCCCCCCCTAAACTGAGTTTCAACTAAGTGCATCTCAAATGGTTAATCGTCTGAGGCATAAACCAACTAGAATTACAGACTTTCATTAAGTTCTGAGAAGCACTGATACTCATTCTAAAACTCAAGATATGCCAAAGCAGTCTTAAAACACTTCAACCTTTACTTGTAAAAGAGACACAGAAATGCTTTGCCTACAGCAGAGATGATGCTCATCTTGCCCACATATGCTAATTGTTAACCTGTCCAAATGTTCTCCACATCTTGTTGGTAAGCAGCAACACAAATAAATCATATAAATCATCCGTCCCAACCATTTTTTTAAAGAGTAGCGAATCAGTGCAGCCCACTTCACACAAGATACAACCACACACCTCAACTGGGGCAGTCACCTCTGACAGCTCCCATTCTTTGGTGGCTGTCAGAGCCACTCGATTTCTCAGCCAGCCTGCCACTCTTCCCAATTCACCCGCCTTCCAGACCTCCCAGGCAACCTCCCATCAGGCTTGCAGTATCCTCACCTATCCAGTCCTGCCCAGCACAACAATAAGAATGGCCCTTGGGAGCATGAGAGTTCCAAGACAAACTTTAGCTTTGCATTACAATGAAGTTAAGAAAACATTAACAACTCCTTACCATCTCAGTTTTGTAGCTTCTTAAACAATCATCTGATCATGCTACAACCAAACAGCTGACCATCTAGGCTCTGTTTGACCTAAATCTGTCTGCTCTTCTGTTTCCTCCCTTATGCATAGCTTTATCATCTTCTGCTTTGCTTCTCATTTTTACCTACTGCTAAAATCGTTGCAGATGTTTAAACTGGAATGAAACTAGAGTAATTATAACTAAATGAAAAGAGAATAAATATGGAAGTTTGAAATAGAATTATTAGTCAAAGATAAATAGTGAAAAAGCAAGACCCAAACTAAAACTTCTCAGATTTTAAACTCCCAAGTGAAAGAAAGGCATCCTGAGAGGCCAAAATATGAGCCATCACTCTAGGTCAGGCAGTAGCACACACCATCCCAGCAAGGCTCTCACACAAACAAGCAGGCAGCAATATTCAAGGCAAAGCTCCCATGAGAAGTGTTTGAACCAAACACGGATGTAGCAAACGTAAGAAATGATTCTCAGGTAAGCAAGCCACAAACTCAAGGCCATCTATGTTAATAGCAAACACCATCAGACAACATACTGGTGTTGGTTGATCATTATTATGCAGAGTAAATCATGGTGTCAAAGCTGAAAGACTGCAATCTTCATCAATGCACAAAGACAAGATGAGCAGTAATGCCTGCTAGCGCCTCTCATCCAAAAGGAAATACAGCTCCAATCAGAATCATCGGCCAAGCTGAAAACCTTGTTGTCTAAAGACAGCCTGCCAGGTCATTGACAGGATGGAAAGGAGAAGAGGGTTGAGTTTAGTTCTGTCAATTGCCTTCTTCGTTTGCTTTTTCTTACAAGCATCTGACATTTTCATTATTCTTTTTACTTCCTCACTAATCCTTTCAGTGGTGCAACAGCAATGTCCATTCTAACAGTAGGCCTGGACTCAGATACCGATACAGAATCACAGGATAATTTCAGCTGGAAAGGACCTCTGAAGGTCACCTGGTCCAACCCCTGGGCTCAAAGCAGGGCCAACTAGATCGTTACAAACATAATCACATTTGCTCCAGCTCTTCCCCAAATCCCAGACACACAATATTCCCTGCGTTCCTATGGGAGTTTTGCTGTTGCTTTTAAATCATACTGCTGGTCTCTCGGGGAGCAGCTGCAGCATACCATTTCAGCCAGGAAAGCAGTATGCTAGCCCAGCATGCTTGCTCCAGCCCTGCCAGCTTCTACCAAGCAAATGTCAGTAAAACAGAAACAAAACAACCCCGAAACAACAGCATGGCTATCCCTTTTCATGCAGGCTCTTCAAGCACTTCGAAGAGGAAAACCTAGTTTGACTTCTACTACCCATTTGTTTGGATTCAGAGTTCTACCAGATGTTCAGCAGTCAGAACTGCGGTCCAGGCAGATTATAACAGGAAAGAGCTGCCCTCCCACTGCTACATTAGGCACCATCACCCATGCACAGGTCTCAAACTGATGGAGCAATACTCCTGGGAAAGGGATGAGCATCACAAACTGCAGGAAGACAATTATGCCTGTCTGTACATATAGATACCATTTTCCATGAAATTACTTATGAGGTATCTACAGTTTAAGCCGTTTTAGCTTCTTCCTCCTTCTTCCACCCTCCAATACGATAAAAACAAGGGACCAGAAATAAAGAAGAATCCTTATTGCACTAAATCTCTTTTGTTCTTCTGTATTTCACAAGGAATGTATTTTAGGGCCCTTAGTCCCTCCCCTCTCTTTATTAAGGTCATCTTAATTAACTCCAGTGTCTAGTTCAGATACTGTTAGGTATCGTCTTCAATTTATATTTAGTTTCCGCCCAAAATATTCTGAATCATTCAAGAGTTATGTTGTAGGAGTGTAAAAATTACCAGAATGCTATAACCTAACTCACAGAAGATATGTAGGAAGGGCCTATCTGCATGTATGGAAAGTAGTGAGTGAGCTTATATTCACTTAGTATTTAACTAAGATTTTGGCTTCTCTTGAACTGCATTTGCTTTCCCCTGAAAAGCCTCTTATACATTAATACAACAACATATTAATTTAATAAAAGTAAAGAAGTACCACATCAAAACTGCTTTACCCATTTTGAGCTGCTGGGAACTATTTGCCCTGCACCAGCATTCCAGTACTCTGTCAGACCTACAGTTCATCTTAATCAATCAGTCCACCCCCAAGATGCACAATTCCAGCTGTACAACAAGAACAACCTTAGAGGTGGATATAGGAAAGCATGTAATAATTTAAACATAATTTATATTTCAGTATGTTTATGCTCTTCAGCACTGTATGCATCCAGTATTATGAAAAAATCTTAGAGGTATCAGGCACTTTACAACATCTAGAAAGATTTTTAAAAACATACTGCTTGAGCAAATAAATAGGTTTGGCAGAAAAGATGCTTGAAAGGGGTCAGAATCTTAATATATTTTCGAGCTCTGTCATTAGTCTATAACCTGCTGTATGACCTCACACAGCTATTTTGCTTCAGCTTCCCTTTATGTAAAGTAAGCTGTAACGTAGAGATGAAAAGTGTTCTAAAGTTTAGCAAGTATTTAGAAACTTCTATCACTAACACTATTTGTTAAAAGCTTTCCAAAGCCATTTCATCCACCAGTACAATGCTTTGCAGTTTTTTTTCCTATTCGCAAAATCCTACCACCATACAAGGCTGTTGTACAGCAAGTCTAAAAAACAAGATTTGCTTCAAAAGAAGAAAAAAAAAGGCTTTTTTTTTTTTTTTGCTAAAAAAGTTGGAGGCAATATGTGCCATTTTCCAAGGGCTAAGGCCAAAAAAATTACATCACGGCATTTTAGAACTCTTAACATACCAACATTTTTAGGTATTAGCTATTTAGAAATGCATAATCTCTTTGAATTTTATGAGCATATGACAACATGAGATTCAGCCAGAACAATTAAGGAACATGAGTTTTCATTAGGCTTTTGTTATTGGAATTGTTAAACTAGCTTCAGCAAGAATATGTTTCTAGTCTGCAAGATCCATCTCATCACACCAGGTCCCGAGGTCATCAAGACTCCTTTCAGAGGCGACGGCGCATGAGAGATAAGGACAGAAAACGCTGCGAGGAACCGCATGATAACTCTGCCCAGAAAAACAGCGCGATACAGGAAGCAGCTTTCCACCACCGCGTTCGCTTCTAAACAGCCATTTTACTTCACTACATCCTTCCCCATAGCCAGCCTTCATTTTGTGTTGCTGCCTGACTGCGCGGTTCCAGGCTGACAGCCTGCCGAGGCTATCGGGGGCGCGCTCAGGTGGAGGTGAGATGCCTCCCAGCCTCTCCGGGTTCCAAGCGAGCCGTTCCGGTGCCAGGGCCGGGGGAGGGAGGCTTCCCGCCTCCCCCCGTTTTTGAAAGTAAATGAAGGCGCCGCTCCCAATGGCGGGGGAGGGGGGAGCTTGGCTCCCTCCTCCTCCCGGGAGCCCGGCTCCTCCTGGAGAGGCAGGGGAGCCCGGGGACCCCTCTCCTGGCAGGTCGGCCCTGCTATCGTCCCTCCCCCCGGGCGGGCAGTGCCGTGTGTCCCGTCCCTCCCCCCGGGCGGGCGGGCTGGCTGTGCTGTCTCTCCCCCCGGCAGGCCGTGCGAGAGCGGCGGGGCGGGCACTCACCGCTCCGGCAGAGTGAGAGGCAGCGGCGGCGGCGGCGGCCTCATCCTCCTCCGGCGACGGCGGGCCGATCTTGCTGCAGGTGGCCGCCAGCAGAGCGAGCGGTGACGGCTGCGCGTCCTACCCACAATGGGCGGGTTCAGGGAGAGAAGGGGGGTGGCGGTTAGTGCGGGACAGCGACCGGGCTCCTCGCAGACGCGCACACAGGAAGCGGCGGCGGCGGCACCGGCTCCGCACCCGCTCACAACGTGTCACTCGGGGGAGGGGGGGAAGGGGCCCAGCCGGGCCTGCGCTCACCTGGGGGGCGGCCGCCCCGGCGGAGGCCGAGGCGGCGCCGTTGCCGTGCTGGAGATATTCGCTGTGGCTGCTGCTGTCCACGTCTAAGGCAGCCATTTCCTCTTGTTTCACGGGCTTCTCGGGAGCTGCGGGCACAGCGGGGAGGGGGAGGGGAGAGTCACTGACGGGAGCGATCACCCCCCTCCCTCTCCCTCCCTCCCTTCCTCCCTCCCTCTCCCCCCCCCTAACCCCAGCGCTCCCCCCGCCCTCCCGCACGGAGCCCTCCTCCTCCTCCTCCTCCTCCTCCCCGTGCTGCTGCCCCTGCCCCTCTTCTCCCTCCTCCCCCTGCTCCTCCTGCTGCTGCTCTCAGTGCCGCTCTCGCCTCGCTCGCACACGGACGCTCCGGGGCCGGAGCGGGGACGCGCAGGGCCGGAGCAGGAGCGGGGAGCCCCCGGGGCGGCTCGGTCGGTGCGTACGTACCGGTCATGGTGTGAGTGCGAGCGGCCGGCTGGCTGGCTGGCTGGGCGGGAGGCAGGCAGGCAGGCTGGCTGGCTCGCACACAGGCCCTGCTGGCTGGGGCTAGGCGGCTGCCGCCGGGGACATGCTTATTGTGCTCACGGCGGGCTGAAGCGGCGGCGGCGGCCCGAGCCTACTCCGGGTTTTTTTTCCTATTTTGATTGACGGTGCGGGAAAGCCGAAAGGTGGGGCTTACCGCGGGAGAGGGGGCCCGGCCGACACCGCCGCCCGCCCGCCCGCCTGCCAGCCCGGAACTCCCGCCCACGCCCGCGCGCGCGCGCTCTCATTGGCTGCGCCGCGCCGCCGCCGCCGCGCGCACGGGCCGCCCGGGCTGCCAGTCACCCGCCGGGGGCGGGGGGGGGCGCCCCATGCCGGGGCGGCTTCCTGTTTGCCAGGGCTAGTGCGGGGAACAATGAGCGGGACCCGCCGGGAGCCCGGGACCCGCGCCGGCCGGGGACCCGTCGCCCCGGGAGGCGGCCCCGCCGCCGCGCTCCCCTGACACCGCGGGGTCCAACTGCCCGCAGGGGTCAGCGCATAGACACAGCTGCGCGGCGGTGGCGCTATCCCTCCGCCGCCCCCCCCCGCGCCCCCGCCGCTGTTGTGCCCGGGGGGCCCCGGGCCAGAGCTGCGATCTTTCGAAGTCTCCCCGCCGGGACTGTCACTCACGGCTGGCGACGGCCGAGCAGCGCCCGGCCGATTGACAGCGCCCGCGGCGCTTTGTCCCTCCGGCGCTAAGATGTCGGCGCGCCGTCCCCAGGGGAGCTGGCCCGCCCGGCGGGCGCTGCCCCGTGGCTGCCGCCGGCCGCCCCTTGCGGGACCGGGCACCCGGATCAGCACCGGCCCCAGCGGGGCGACCCCGCCGTGCCGCCGTTGCATAAGCGCTGTGGCGGGCTCGCACCTGCGTGACCCGGGCAGAGGAGCCTAAAACCTCCACTGTGACTAAGGCAGAACAAAACCCGTCCAGGATAAGGCCGCGAGTTAGTTTTTAACGCGACACGTCCTCCCAGCGGGAGTACCTGCCCTGAGTTGGGCACCCGAGCCTTGGCACCGATCGAGCATTTGTGACAGCAGGCTTTATTTTCATCATGTTAAGGAGAATTAATAAGATTCCCCTCAACGTCAGTTTGCTGGTCTGTCTCGTGTTATGCAACGCAGAGGAAACTGGGAGCTTTCAGATTGTTAAACTAAGGCAGCAAATATGTTTAAAATGTTACATAAGTATATGATGATACAGGAATGATTATTAGTGGGGCCTGTTTCTCTGTAACACCACTTAGCTTGTGAAGGGTTCCTGTAAAGAGGAACAGTTTGGGCTTGGCCTTCTGTCACATCTGAGTGCATGTGCAGGGTCATAGGACAGCATGTAGGTTGAGGCACTGATTCTGACCTTTAGCTTGCAAATTCTCCCAAAGAGCAACTTTTTTGTGGTTACCCTTAGTGTGGTGTTCCAAGGAGTCTGAATGAGGCAAAAAAATCTCAAACCTATTTTCCTGTTAAAGCCTTTAATGTAATTAGAACTGAGGGTTCACTAGGAGATACAGCGAGCACATATGTCCACAGTTGGACTGAGTATTTGGACTCCCAGGCTCCTGAGATAAATTCGTGGCAAAGTTAGTAACTGGGAAACCCAGAAGTATGGTCAGGATTTTCAACAGCCTCTCTGAGCAGAGAATAAACAGTGCTTTTTAATCAGTCCCAGTGCTATGACCTTGCAGTAGCTGCCCAAGCTTAACTTAGAAACTACTAGAGAACAGGAAAAAAATGCACTCAGAAAATGTGAATTTAATATTAAGAATTTATGATGGACAAAGATTGCAGTATTTCACTGTCAGTGGAAGATTGTTCTTATTGTATGATGTTTAGTCTTATTTCTAACCAATTTACTTTTGTTAGAATGTTGAGATACCTTCAGGTGACTTACTGTTAAGTTATAAATTAATCCCCACTCTGTTTGTCACAATTCATTTTTTCCAAGGTTGTCAAAAAAAAGACCAACCCAACCCTTCTGTTTGTTATATGTCTGTGTTTGTTTACATAGTCTCTTGTAATTCTACTTCAGAATCAGTTGTTGGCAAGGTAGATAACACAGCCACAAAGAAGATTTTTTTTTTTGCAATTTATATTTTTTATTTTAATAAGCAAAAGTTGTAACTAGAAACAGTGTCAAATAATTTTTAACCAGTGAAAGCTAATATACACAACCTTCAAAAATTCATCAGTATGCAGACATAAGGACATTTCAGGAAAAAAATGAAAAGGCAAAATTACTTGACTATTGCAGTATTTAAAAAAAAAGAAAAAAAGACCTACAGCTAGTATAGAACTTGGAGTTTGTTTGAAACGTACGAGCGTCTGTCATCCTGGAACCACTTTAGACTTTCAGTAACTGAGCTGTTCATTTAAAGACTGATGTATAAGAGAAATATTTCCTCCTAAGATGCTGTGATGAGGAAAATTATGTTGAAAAACTGGCCCTTGCTATTTAGCAGGGTATTGCCAAACTATCAATGGCATTTTGCTTTAGGAAAATCATGTTGTCTAGGACTTAATCTAAAATATGAAAGTTGTTCTTTCTTGTGCAGCTGGGTGGGTGCATGTTGAGAGCTGTCTAACTTAAGGGGGATGTTGTCAATTTACCACGTAGTTTACCTACACGGATCAGATTGCAGGCTTGGGACTTAACTGCAGTGCTTTAAGACAGAAAGATTTGAAATACCAATAATGCGACTGAGTTTATATATAAAAGAGTTTTTCAATGCAATAAAACTCGGATATAATCAGCCTTACACTAGCAGAGGACCATCTTTTGCTAGTCAAATATCTAAAATTTGGTGGGACACTTACCATATATTGAATTCAGATAAAGAACTAAACCAGAATATTATAGACTATTTAAAAATAGACAAAAAATCAAGATAAATTACAATAAAGTTGCAAAAAAATATATGCTCATATGAAAAAGAGGTGTAAAGAGACTCAGAATTGTTAAATAGAAACTGCTTAGTAATAGAAATCACATGTGTCTGTTTACCACTTCCCAGCAGAGATTAAGAACACATGAGAAGAAAAAAAATGAAAATGAGAAAAGACATGATTTGTAGGTTTTTTTGCTTATCAACATACTAGCATTAAGACACTCGTCAGAAAAATCCTGGATACATGAGGCAGATACTGGACATCTGAGTTCCAGTCGGTGCTGGTTTTCCTGCAGAGTTAGCACTGGGGCAGTATCCCCAGACACTGAGCTCCATGCCCAACTAGAGGAGCTGTTGTTTTGTTTCTTGAGCTGCCCACCACATGTACCCTAACCATATGTGATCTGAATAAACTAACCATGACCAGTTTTTTCTTAAATAGCCTTGCCTCTTTAACCTTGCCTCCTGCTTCTAGGCACTTCCTGGTTAACTGCAGGTCCTGGGATGAATTTTCAATCAATTTGCTGAAAATGGTGTGTTGTAGTTTGAGCTGTGTAGATACAGAGAAAGTAATACTGCACTATAAATAATAAGAATACCTCTACCAGATACCAAAATGCAGCAGTTTCAGAACTGAGATGCAGGCTTTGGGGTAAGTAGCAATATAATATGGGAGAGGAAACAATGTCTGCCAGCTTCTGATGAAACTTGAGAGAAGGTTTTGACAGATGAAACAAGATGCAACTTGGAAAGAACGCTAAAACTTAATACCCACCCTGTATTTCAGTTGTAAGCTCAATGCTGTACTTGTCCACTGTAACTTATATGTCATATCTCATTGGTTTAAGTCTTGGAGCTCAGTGTCAGCTCAGTACAAATTCAGAAGGAAGTGCACTGTCTTAACTTTCATCCAGCACAGTGTCTGCTATACTTGGAAATAGCTTTTCTGTCTACAGTCCTCTGAAACTTCTGAGCTATGACATGTTATTTCTGTCTTTAGTGGTCCCTGCTGTGGGTAGCCCTGTGTTTCTTTAAAGGAATATATTATTGAAGACTTGCTGGTATGCGGTCCAGTTCATTTTTCACAGCTGTAGTAGTCCATTCCTCTGTTGAGTGGTGGTTTTGCCATGCTGAAGCCTAGAATGCAGCTGGACAAGACAGACAGGAATGCATTCTGCCATGACAGAATGTAACATCAGGAAAACTCAGGCTCAGGTCACCTTAGTTTGAAAGGCTGGGTCTGAAATTCCTACGAAGAATCAGTAGGGATTCCATTGAACATCTACCTCAAAATGTGTCCTTTACTGGAGAGACAACAAGCAGGATTATCTGTAAATCTCATACCTCAGAAAATAAGTAGAACACCAAAAATCCTAACCATTCAGGAGAGGTATCTTTTTGAATTTGAGATACCATCTTCTGTTTTAGTCTGTTTAAAATGTCAGTAGAATCTGGAAAGCCATGTATTTTCTAAGTGCTAAACATTTACATGGTACTTACTACAAAACCCAAGATAACGACAAGGTTTTGAACCAGACCCCTTAGACTTCATAGAATTCTACTTCTTTCTGAATTTCAGCCTGCTTTTGCAATTTGTTTAAGTCTTAGCAGACAAGAAAAAGAGTGTAGCTACCAGTCCTGGATACTGCACTCAATTTCTACATCCCATATGGGTCCATTTGCTTAAGAATATTGAGTCATCATAGGGCCACAGGCAGGACTGACAGGAAGTTGACCTGTGAGGTTTCATGAGTCAGCACATACTAGTTGAGATAGTTGCATGACCTGAGTTCATCAAATAGAGAAATGAGCCCTCGCCTGGTATAAAATCAGCAGTGGTTAGAGAAGTCTTGGCTGGCATTGTGTCATCATCCTCCAGAAAGCACCTCCCTGTTCTTCTGGCTATAAGAACACAAATTTTGGTGGGGGAAGCAGGCTTGAGCAATAGGTATGGTCTACCCAGAAGCTGAGCTAATGTAACTGCTCATGAACACCATAAGAAAATAAATCCTTCAAAAATATGCTTCTGATACTGCAAGCCAACTTGAGTCAAACAACACAGGGAGCAACAGAACTCCATGGGTGGGACTAGATGAGAGCTAAGACTCCTTTCAGCAGCTGCAAGTAGATTAATTCAGGGTGTCAAACTTGCTGGACAACACAGGAACTTGCTTTTGGCTATGTTTTGTGCAAAGTGTCTTGTCAGTAGCCCAGGATTTCAAGCCTTTAGAGGAGCACAGACGGTACCTGAGAGCATGTGGAATACCAAGGTATTGTATGGTCTGCTGCATAAGTGTGATGGTATCCAAGTGTAACCATATGAAAGACAAATCACGTTTAGTGAAATGGGAATTTAGGAGAGCATTTTTTCTGTTTTAAACAGCGAAGCAATTCTAAAAATACTGGTCTGTGCTTGAAACAACTCCATTAAGGAAAGGTCAAAGAGAAATCTGTGGTACCTGGATCCAGCTGTTGGCAGGGGAGGCATTTGATTCCATTGGTCTGCTCGCATGGAGTAGAAGCTGTTGATGGGATAAAGGCAGGCCTAGCAAATTCATGAGCAGCTGCAGCAGAAATATGCCAGCTGCAGGCTCTTAGTGCACTTCACTGGAGGTCTGAAACACACTGCCTGGTAAGAGGAAGAACCTGTGAATAAGTAGCCCAACAACCCAGTGCACAAATCTAAACGCTGTGACTTCACCAACACAGATGACTGATCTTCAAGGAATGGGGCCAACAGAAAGTCTATCCAAGCTCTGCATGCACCAGTATGTGAGGACAGACCTCTGGAACGTTGCTTTCCACATAGTCATTGTATTTATTAATTGTTTTTTTGAGCAATTGAGACAAAATAAGTCATGTTCCTTTTTAAAAAGAATTCTTCCTTGTTTGTTACAGCTGTAACTCTCCCCAGGTGATAGATTTTTGTATATTTTGCAAATTTTGAAATTCACTGGAGACATCTAGTATTTGATTGGTAAACAGGTTCTATTCTTAATAATGTTAGAGAAAATTTTCTGATGTTAAAGTATGTTACTACAATAGGGAACAAAATTCGGTATAATTGCCCAAGGTTTTTTTTTCCCCCATTAATTTCATTATCTTGGTTTTGGCTGCATAAAGAAATAAATAAAGAGTATATTAGTTAAATCTTCCTTGTAAAATATGTGTGGTTTTTATTCAACTGGCAGCACAGTCCATCTAAGTAAGAATATTTTTCATTAAAAAATTGCTTCTGAAGGTGAAACAAAGTCATCTAATCTCCCTCTCATTTGGGAAGAAGTAACAGGACAAAACAAATCAGTACATAGCTGAAAACTTGCCATTTATCAAGTTAATCATTCTTTCATTTCACCTTTCTTAAATGAGAAATAGATGTCTTTTTTCAAGCTTCCTAACAGTTACTGTGTTTGGGCCCCATCATTATCCTGTTTGTGTATGCTTAATTCCTGTCCTTCAAGGTCATCACAACAGATAAAATCCAATCCTAGAAATAATTGGGGAAAAAAGTTGCAGACCCATGAGGTAGGGTTAGAAAAATTACTCAGAGGAAGAGGCTGCATAACTTGCAGAATCTGTAATACAACATCTAAAGATCTTCATAGCCCATCACAAAATTGGAATGGAAGTAATTAAACGGATAAAGTCTCCTGAATGGAAAAAAAATTGTGTTTTTCTTTCTTAAAATTTGGCATTTTGTTTTTAATAGTACTGATAGAAAAGTAGGCCAGTGAAATGAAGGAGACTAGCAAATTATATGTGTGCACATATGTTTTCTGAAAGACAGAAAACACAATAGGAGGAGTTACAGATTCTGAAAGGAAGTACTTTTGGAGGGATGAAGTGACTTACTTTTATGAACCTCAGTGAATTCCCATTCCCGAAACAAGAGCAAGCTCTATGAGAAGGAAGGCTGGTGCTGTAGTCCAAACGACAACCCGGGCTTTTTCTGGCAAGTCTCAGTTCCAGCAGCCAGAAGGCCACAGTGTGGTCTGAACAGTGAGAGATGAAATGAATGTCCCTGTAAAGTCATTTGGAAACCTGTAGGTAAGTTCTGAATTCTTACGTATCTTCCGATGAGGGAGGTATTTTGTTTCTTAGGGAAAAAAAAGAATCCCTGACAGGATCTTTGAAAAAGGAGTTGTGGGTAGCAACCTACAGAAGAGGGCTGGACAGGAGACTATGTGACATGCCCTGAGAGGTGCCTGATGCAAAGAACAACTTGACCTCAGGTTCTCAGCATTTTGTTTCAATTGGTGCTTGGGGGTTACACACAGCTTGTGTCATCTCAATCTGGGGGATTAAATGCCCCCAACGTGCCTAGCCCACTCTCCCTGTAAGGAACTCCAATTTTTGAAGAGAGTTCTGGCATGTTCACAGTGGCATATAAAACTTCTGTGGTCTTTCTTAGAAGCATCATTTTATTAGAGTAGACAAAAGCATTAAGAGGAACAGAGCAAATTAGGTTTGTGCCCTTCTACTCACTAGCTTTGAAAAAGGAGGTGGAAAGTTCTAGGGTTTATTTCACATTTTTCTGTGTCTACATTTCTGCAAAGTCCAAATCTATAATTTGGACAAGAGTCGGTAACAGATGCGTTTATTTTATCTTCCTCCTTTACCACAGGTAATTAATTGAACTGCATCACAAATAGCAAGGAAGAAAAAGCCAAGCGAGATGAAATCCCAGTTCTGGTCATAGAAGAAGACTGTTTAGGGGTAGGGGGAAAAGTTACTAATAAAAATTGATCTAAGAAATGCCAGTAAAAGAATCATCAATCTGTTTCAGCTTAAGTCTGAAAGAGGCATATTTGAGGCTGAATACTGAAATTAACATACTCATGGTGCTCACATAAAACACCAGTGGATGCTTTTAAACTGCTAATTAACCTCTAGCTTTTATAAACATCCTTAAAAATGCATGTTTTCTTCACCTTTATTTCAGCTCACTAGTAGTTACATACTTTACTTCACAAACAATGCTGCAGATCATTCCTGGTCGTTTTGACCTGTTTCGGTTTCCAAATTACTGCACAACCTTCCCAGTCTAATGACACTTGCAAACGTCTGCACGTGCTGCAGGAGCCCTTCCTGTTCCTAAAAATTAATTAACAAAAGTTAATTATTTTTTAATGTATTGTTTCTCTCTCTTGTGTCAATTAGTATCTGAGTTATTGAAGTGGATCATTGCTATTAGTTTGTTTTCACAAAGTTGGAAAATTCAAACTCCACTATCATCTTAATTACTTACAAATGAAGGATAAAATTCCTTCTTTCCTGTGGCAGAGATCCAAAAGACATAATGGAGATGGGATGTTGTGGCAAGCCTCCATTCCCCACGCATTCCTCCAGTCTCAGCAGGACCACTCTGGCACCGGAGGCAAAGCGTGCGTGCTGTGCACAAGCACGACCATGCAGTTCCAGGACACAGAGCCCACTACATCTTTTACTTTTTAATAGCAGTGCCAGATTTTCAGCAGCATGTATTATGTTTAAGCAAAGTGGTAATTGAATAATCTGTCCACTGCATAGAAAAAAAAAAAAATCAGCTCATTCTCTTTTTCCTCTCCCAAAGAAGGAATTGCAATACTTTTTTTTCCTAGCCTGGATTCCTACAGAAATTAAAATGGGGTTGAGATCATTATCTCTTCATATATGTAATAAATCTATGTGTACACAGACGTGCATGTACATGCATGTTGTGCAAGAGAGAAGGAACAAGAACAAACAGTAGCCAATTTTAACCACATCTGACAGAGCAAGAAAAGGCTGAAAAATTCCTATACGTTTCATAAGAACAAGCTGCTAAGTAAAAGGAGACCCACTGAAGTTTGAGTTAAACTCTAATTAAACACCAGGAAAGTTGTGAAGATGAAAGATGTTATGAATAGCCACCCACAGGAAAAGCTGCAGTCAGAGCTTCCAGCTACATAGACCTAGGAGAATCCAAACAAGATTTGCCCCAGGGAAACCAAGCCCCATCAGATCTGCAGTTCACAGGACTACTGGTCTGTGCTGGATTTCTAAAACGTTGCTATCCAGCTTTAATGATGACATAGTGCATTTTTTGCCCTTTGACTTTGGGGGAAAAAAAAAAATTTCATGCAGATTTCTCAAACCCAGTATGAAAGGAAGGACCAGATTTTGTGTACTTAAAGACCCCGTGGGATACCCTCACAAGAATCTGCATGTGGAGCACACTAGACAAAGTGAAAACAGCATCTTCCAGTTCACAGCAGACTAGAGCTGAACTTCATGCCCTGGCAGCCTGGAGTTTGATCTTAAGGTAGCAGGAACCAGTGCTGTTAAAAAGCCTCTCATCCCACTTTCTGATCTGTCACATTACTGATGTCCATGGGTCTAACCATTCTTAAAAGATTGGTGGGGGGCACGCGTCTTGGGCCTCTAAATGTTCCTGTTTTTTCTGCAATACAGGTGTGGTATCCGTGCAGAGGACACAGCTGAAGGAAGTTTAGTCAGGGTTCTTGGCACTGCTCACCCTTCTCAATGCAATGCAGGGCCCCCAGCTCTGCTGGTCTGCCAGAGACACTCCTGCAGTGTCACACCTGACACCTCACTGGATGCTGAGGGAAACTGATGGTGAGAGAAGTCCAGGCTCAGTGCTGCACCATGTATCAATGGACACACAATCTTCCAGAAACCACTTACCTGCTGTAGTGCTTGTCTCAGTCACATTTCTCCTTCTTCATAGCCTGGGAGTGTTTGACGAGGTTTGTTTACTTCACCCCAGGGTTGTGTGTCCATCACCTGTCAGTAACACATCCAGGGAAAACTCTGGCACTCTAACATTTACAATCCCTTCTGGATGACTGCCCGACTTTTTATGTTCTGGTCTCACTAACTCAGTTTTCATCTATCCTTCTCTTCTACACTGTACACCTCACACCCTGCTTTGCTAAGCACGCTTACATCTCTAAAAATACAGTCCAGGAACTTTTTATTCTTCATACTGTGTGACATGGAAACTTAACCTCTCAAGCTCAGCAATCTTGCTTCTAGGTGCTGAAGCAATCAATGCACCTAGGCTGCCTTGGATGCCTCTGGCCGTATCTAGCAGTGCTCTGATTCAGTGTCCCCACAGGAAGGAAAGATAATGAAAAGATTCAACAGCCAAATCCTGCTATTCCCCTCTTCTTCCCAAAAAGATTAACTCCAGTAAGACAGAGGTGCCCATTCTTGTCACTGGGTGAAAAAGAGATTTGTGTAGCATAGTTATTCTTGCTGCTACATGTTTGTGATCTTATCCTGAGATTGTTTATTAACTTTTTTTTTAATCTTTTGTTGCTAAGAGAATAATAGCAAGGCAATAAGAATCTCCTTGGAGATTCAAGGGCTTGGAGCAATAAAGTCTTCTAAACTCTTAACTACTCTAAACTCTTACAGTCATCTAAACTAGCTACATTTTGCAATTTTGTGGGAATATAAATACCCATTCTATTCAGTATGTTATACCTGCCAGTCCCTGTTTTTCCTAATCTGAAATAAACTAGGTGAGTAGCCTTTTTTTCGTACTTTGTCATTCATTACTTAAGGATATAGGGAGGAAGTTAAAACGGCATGTTTGTTAAATAAGTAAATATTTAACAAGTTGACTCGGATTTTAACAGTCTAAGGGAACAGTACTATAAAACCTTAGAAAGTTGGCAGAACTCATTGATTTTTTTATGTAACACTTAAGTTAGTCATTGGAGCCATTTTGTTTCCTGGATTAATTATACCAGTTCTGTAGTGGGACAATTCAGCATAAACATCTATAATAAAACAAGTCAATTACATGTGCAAGTTATTTCTAGTCCAGAGGGAGAGAGCTGCCGCCTTCTTATTTACTGTTCCCTGAAGAGTCAAGGCCTCAGAGCAGTAGGACCCTGAAGAAGCTCAAAGCTAAACACACACGATTTCTGAGATTCTGGAACTCAGACCGTCACAGTTCTCTTGTAATGCACAATTGGAAGTCAGCAAGCATTTCCTTATTCCCTTGATTTTCAGGCAAAAGAGGAGGCAGGCTGTGAAGTAGGTTTCTAAAGGCCACAGGAAAACAAAACAAAACCAAAAACCCACAACGATTTTAGAGATTTACAAATTATCTGTGAAACTTCGTAATCTGCCACCAGGCTTTCTATGGGGAGAAGAAACTTACTGGTCAAAGTCAGAATAAAGGACCTCAAATTTTGACTTCTGTAAACTGTGAGTTAGATATCACTTTTGTCAAATAGAAATCAGTAGGAATTAAAGTACGTTAAAGTGTTTCCCATGGGGGCAGAGAGGCAGCCACTCTCTCATCAAAAATCAGTGGCAACCAACATGACAGTGAGCTGATGGTCCTTTCTCCCATTGCCTCATTGGTTTGTCCACTGTCCACATTTGATACGTGGTCATCAGAATGAGGGATATAAGCAGAGGCTTCACATAGAACAGAACTGGCTTTATCCTAAGTGAAAAAGCCTCACCCTGCCCAGTATCTTGTGTTTAATTCAACTCCCCATTCCAGCTTGTACCATTTAGGACCATTTAGGATGTATTAACTAAGTGTGAGAACTCCCAGCTAGTGACTATGCAAAGTATTTTCATTGCTGCAGCTAATCTACAAAGACCAATATTCTTGTGTTTACACCATGAGAAACAAAATATCCTTATCTCTCAATAAAAAATATTTGCTCTTTGTTGGATGCCAACACTGCTCAACTCCAAAACGGTTTGAAATCCTGGCTTGTTTCTTATCTAACTCAGCAGTGCCCATAATGGAAGGAAATCAGAGAACTCCCTCTGATACTATTCTTCCTCCCCACCTGAGGACTCAAACCATTGAGAATGCTGCCGTATAAAATCTTTGATCGTGGAAGAGATTATCCCCTTTTCAGAGACACGAGTGAGATGTGTAAGAGCATCAAGAGCCTTGCCAGAGGTTACGTGTGAAGTCTCATAGCAGAACCAAGAAATAAATTCCCAATTTTTAATCCCAGTCCATTTCACCATCTTTCTGTCTCAAAGAATGGATCAATATTCTTCCTTGTCCTCTCTTCTGACTAAAAATCTAATTTAACTAGTGCTCCATTCTCTTCTTTGGAAAACATTTTTCCTTCCTCTTGTAGATTTTCCACATACCTTGACAATTTGCAAAGTGCTGCCACACAGCATTGGTTGGCGTTCCTGGAAGCAGCAGACCAGCTGCAGACACAGCTCCCAAACTTAACCAGCCCAGGTTCTGCCTCTACCATGCACCTGTAGTTAGGCAGAAGGAGAACAACTTGAGGCATTAATGGCAAGAGAGGCTCTGAATTTATCAGCATCTCAGTGTACTCTTGAATGCCTCAAAGCCCGAGCCTGAAATCCTGCAAAGCCCCCACAGATCCTGCTGCTGCCTGGCCCATGCTCTCTGCTTTGGACCATTTTGCACAGGCTTATGTGTAACAAGTGTCTCTTTACAGTCCCATGACATTAGAGCCAACATGAGATTTTCAGCATGGATGTTGATAGAGGCCATTCCAAATATTTTGCCAGTTCTACTGCCAGTATACCGGCTGAAGACAAATTAGATCTGGATTTGCACCTTTTTATTTAAGGTTGTA